GATGAGAGGAAAAGAGGGTCTAAAAGCTTAAACACACACACATTTTAGGCCAAATGAAGCATGAAAAATACTCAACTTAAAGACTTACAAAAGCATTAGCCGTTCTTTCCTTTGTAGGGACGTTGGTAAGGTCTGAACTGCAGAGAATATGATTTGGATCCTACCCTACTCTTTCCTGAGACTGTTTTCCAGACAAGCCCAGCTGTTCTGGGGAGGAACCCATGGAAGCGTCAGGGTCACCTTCACTCCCGGCCTCCCCTTCAACCCCAGGCTGAAGGCATCCACCCAAACCAGGGTGCCCTGCCCAGCTGGTTCCCCTGGATCCCCTCAGCCAGCCTGACCCCTTTCACTGGCCAGGGCTCTGACAAAGTCTCCACTTCCTCTCTAAATCCACGCAAGTCATTTAAAGTCAAACTCGGATTTTAAATGTTTAGAATGTGGTTTCTCTCCCCCTTCTCTGGCCTGGGAGAGAGTCCTCTCTCCTAAAGCAATGGCTCTCAACAGTGAGAGGAATTTGTTAAAATGCCAATTCCTGAACCCCCATCTCACTCCCATTCTGGTCGCATTAGCCTTGAATCTGCATTTTAACGAGCTCCTAAGGCAATCCTGATACTGGAAGCCCCTAGACTTTACTTTTGAGAAATTGTGTTCAGAGGGAAAGGGTCCCTAGCCGGTACTTACTTGCTGGTCTCATTCACCCAGCTGTATCCCCTTGTTAATACAACTAGCACAATGCCCCAGGCACTGCAGGGACTGGTGGGGGGTGGTGGCGCTGGTGGGATGGATGGGGGAGGGGAAAGAAGGGAGGGCTGTTCAAGAGAGATGGACCCAGGCCAGGAGGATTCCCAATTAACCCGGCAAAACAGGCCGGAGGAAAGCACTGCAGTTCTTATAAAAATGTCTCTCTGAAAAATGTGTCAACCAGGGCTGAGTCATTTTTTAACCAAGAATTCTGTAAGAGACACGAGAGCATGTATAACATGGAAGACATGGCCACAAGACAGGCAGACCAGATGCAGGCTAGGGAGCCATGAGCTGCAAGTGAATGAAAACGCATCCAATTCAGAATCAAATAAATATGCCTGGGCCCACAGCCAAGGAGAGTTCTTGGACTGGACTTTTATCAGGACCTAAATTTTAACCAGCTGGAACTTCTTCTTTTCCAAGTACCACCCTATTCCTTCCTACCTTTTGAGATGAAGTATTTGCCTTAAATGGGAAACTTGCACTTCATTGTAAAGACGATGCCAGCATTCTGGCTTCCTGAATTCCTGGAGGAGCAGGCTTTTTTGCAGGGTAGACATTTGTTTCAGAGATAAAAGACCAGAGAAGATGTACCCCATTTAGATAAGAAGGCATTCCTTGTTCCCTCCTTCTCCACTGCAGGAAAATGCCACTAAACAAAAACCTGTGGGAGCCGACGTCTAATTCTTTGTCCCATCAGTGTTTTTTTTTTAAAGATTTTATTTATTTATTTGACAGACAGAGATCACAAGTAGGCAGAGAGGCAGGCAGAGAGAGAGAGAGAGAGAGGAGGAAGCAGGCTCCCTGCAGAGCAGAGAGCCCGATGTGGAGCTCGATCCCAGAACCCTGGGATCATGACCTGAGCCGAAGGCAGAGGCTTTAACCCACTGAGCCACCCAGGCGCCCCTCCATCAGTGTATTTTGAACAACTAGCAAGATGAAAGAAAAAAAAAAACCTCAGCGCAATTGACTGATAGAAAGTTACCCGTCACCAACAGAACCATTCCACCACTATCAAGAAGCAAGAGTTAAGATCCAGTGTAAACGAGGATGCCAGTTTTAGAAATTGTTACTTTGGGAAAATTGTATTTATTACTCCAAGAGCAACTTTACCTGGCAAGGGCCCTAAGAGATTTTTTTTTAAGAGACAAAGAAGTGTGCCCAAAACTCATTCCTAAAACACTGAGCTGTGTTCAAGATGGTATTGGCCCCTTAATTGCCCCATTAATAATAGGAAGGTTGGGAAATCTGATCACTTAAACCAGGTCAGCTCCTCAGAGAGCCTCCCCAAAGGGTGTGTTAGAAAAGCTGCTGAGGGTTCACTGGCTTCAGTCACCTTGCCAGTCCTGGGAAAATACACACTGCTGGTGGGGCAAGAGTTCCTGGAACAAATGCTCCCTGGAGATCAAGGGGGTCATTTGCCCCGTTCCTCTGCAGCACCCAGATCCTGCAGGGGCTCACGTTGCCACCCTGCTGTCCCCCTGGTTCCATGTGACCCACAGGAAGCCGTCTCTTGTTTGATTCACACATAATCAACCCTTCTTTTAGGTCTGCATGGCCCCAACTAGACTGTAAGCAACCTCAGAACTGAGACCAACATCTATGAGCTGAATACCCACCATCTGGTAGGGGACCCTGACATGAATCAAAGGCTCAAATCATTGTACACCAGTATTCACTGGCCAGTCCTCGGACCGCAACTTTTGGAAGACCAGATGTAGGGAGGCGGGGGCGGGGAAGGCTTCCTGCAGGAAGTGCTGCTGGGGTAGAGAAGGGAGGCTAGGGTGTAAAGAGAAGGAACACAGACAGGAACAGCATGTGCAAAAGCCTGCTGTGGAGAGGACACTGGAGCTCAGTGCTCTCATCTTTCCAACCACTTCCTAAAATCATCACTTAATACAGGATTAAGTAAGAAGGCTGCAGGGTCTAATTGGGCTCAGCCAAGATTTACAGGCTCTGAGGCCACAAAGATGAGGTTAAGTGCCTGGCTAAAGAAACCAGTCCGAAGACACAGATATGAGCAAATATTGACAATGTAGTGTGGTGAGTAGTAAAGTGCGAGGACCTGCATGAGAAGGCAAAGCAAGGGGAATGGCATTCAGGGTGGGCTTCCTGGAGGTGGTATCACCCGAGCTGAATCTTAGGACAAGCAGAAGGTTCTCAGGGGAGGAAAAGGCATCCTAAGAGCAGAAAGCATGTCTCAGCAGCATAAAGGGCACAAAAGTTAGGGACAGGCTGGAAAGGTAGGTATGCAAGGCAGGTGGGCAAGAGGGGTTGAGGAGAGCTGGTGGCTCCATCAGAGGCACCGAAAGGCAAGTCCAGGAAGAAAAGAGCCATGCAGCAGGTTGGAAAGAGTGTGGAATCTGGGAGATGGCCCAGAGGCTTCCATGCTCATTCAAGAAGGGATGAACAGGAGACAATTAGTGGGACCAAGGTAAAAGCTGTTGAGAAGGTCACCCCTAACTAGGAGTTGTGGTGGGAGAAAAGAGGTCAGCCTGACTGTGAGGCCACTGAGGGCAGGGATGCACAATTAGGGGAAATAAACACATTCCCACAGCATGGAGACCGAAACCATCAGCGTGGCTCCTTTGGGTCGCTATTATACCCAAAGCATTAAAACTTCCAAACTTTGTGAACTGACACATGAAGCCACCTAGACAATTGCAGAAAAACAGCAATTGGACTAATCCACCTAAGCTGTCATATGTAAACTCAGAATAAAATGCTTGTGATGCTCTTACAGTTATTCAAAAACCAAAATATCCATTTAGATCCAAAAAGTTTAGCAGGACTAATAAGTCAATATGAGATAGCCTTAAGGGAAACTTTTTGATCTAAAAACTGGGAAGAACATGGTATCTTAAAAGATAATAATTGTGAGATTTTACTAAAATGTGATGCTTTACTCAAAACAGGAAGGTTATATTCACTATGGGGTTGGTGGTGGGAGGGTGTGTTATAGCTTAGTATAAGTCTAGCATAGTCTTAGTGCAGCTAGGCTATTAGGTTTGAAGTTATTCCAGCTGCCTGGCTCATACCTGGTTTTCTGCACTGTTTCTCTGATTGTGGGAAAGGGAGCTGGAAGCACCATCCTGAGACTCTAAAAGGGTGCCGGGTCCTAGGCCTTGACTGTGCTGAGGCCTTTCAGTACATCTCTGAGTCAATTTTGTTCTAAGGACCCAACTCTCAGCGCCAACAGTGCTGGGATAACAAGGAAATCCCCATTTATTCCCATTTTTCAGGTGGAGAAACTGGACGCGGGAGCAGAGCCAAGGTCATGTCCGTGGCTGCCTGAGTGCAAAGCCCTCACAAAGCTCTCCACAAGTCTGAAGGCCTTGAGTGCCGTGACGCCTGGCCTCCCTGGCTTGGGTGGGAGGTGCGGGGCAGACAGAAGCAGTCTCCGGGTCCTGGGGCTGCCCAAACACAGGAACCCTGGTGGGCACCGGGGATCGCAGCATCCCCGCGCACATGGCCCCCCACCCGGACAGCATCAAATTGCTCGGTTACTGGGAGAAGACTCCAAACACGAGACTAAGAATGTACACCTCTCCTCTCTCCTCCGGAGCATCTGACCGAGGTGACAAACTCATGCCTTCCTTTGGCCTAGAAAAATATCTGCAAGTCAAGCTGGGGCCAGGGAGAAGGGGTGTAGGTCATCCATGAGACCCTTCGCTAGACCAAGGGCAAGATTTCCTAGCAAGTCAGGAATCGGGGGTGGGGTGAAAGTGGAGTAAGACGGCCCAGCCTAGAAGGAACAATGCGGCCACGAGAGGGGGCGCATCCCTCCCCAGCGCTCCGGGACCCCTCTCTGTCAGTCCCGGGGCTCTGCAGAGTTGTGGACCAGAGGAGTCGACTACAGGACCACTCCTGCTCCCAAGCGCCCCCAGTCCAGACAGCTCGGAGCATCCCAGCCCCGGGAAGGAGGAGGCACGGGTCCGGAAACAAAGGGTGGGGCGCCCTTCTCCCGCCCGCCGCGGGACGCCCCTCTCGCCCGCCTTCTGGGAGCCGGACCCCGGCCAGTGGCCGCGCCTCATTAGCAACACAAAGCCGGGGGTCGGGCGGCCCCTTTCATCCCGGCTGGGGCCGGCGGACGCGCACCCCGGGAGGGAGGGAAGAAGGGCGGGAGCAGCGGTGATCCCAGCCCTGCCGCTGACTCCGCGTAGGGCAGGCAGGTCGGCACCCGCTCGGCTGCCCACAAGCACCTGTGCGCACTGCGCCCGCCACGCTTTTGGGGACGACGAAAAGTTTCTCCTTACCCTCCAGCCGCAGGTGTCGGCGCCCCGCGCTCTGCTGGAGCCGCCTGCCGCTACGGCCAGCTGCGAGCCGTTGAGGCAGGCGTTGACCGTGAAGAAGACGGAGCAGAGCTGCAGCCACGGGGCCATGGCCGTGCGCTCGCCCAGACGTACCCAACTCTGCACCCCGGCTGCCTGCCTCTGGCCAGCCCCAAGTGGGCGGTGGCGCCGGCGGCGGCGGCGGCGGCGGAGCTGGCCGCACTACCGAGCATGCGCCGCCGGCCCGCGCCCGGCCCCTTCCCTTTGGGCCCCGCCCCCTGCCCCGACTTTAGCACCGTGGCCCCGCCCTTCCAGCACAGCCCTCTGTCTTGGCCCCGCCCTTCCAGCCCAGCCCTCTGTCTTGGCCCCGCCCCGCCCCGTAGTCCTCCCCAACTATGGCCACACCCCGAATCTCCACTAAGGGGCTGGGATCCGCAGGTTTTTTCTCGCTACCTGACAGGCCTTTTTTTTAATCCAAAGGATCTGTCCAAGTGATGCCTGCTCTCAGCAAAAAACTCAGGAAAACACAAAGAATATAATAAAAATGGTTTTTAAAGTAATTTAATCAACACCTACTATTTGCCAGGCCTCTTGAATCTTCCCACCCACAGTGGAAGTGTTAGTATTATTCTTGTCCCAGTTTCCGGCACAAGAAAGTTAGGGTAATGTGGTGGTTATAAAAATCCTAGCTGAGGGGCGCCTGGGTGGCTCAGTTGATTAACCGACTGCCTTCTGGTCAGGTCATGATCGTGTGGAGTCCCAGGATCAGGATTGAGTTTGGCATTGAGCTCAGCAGTCTGCTTCTCCCTCTCATGCTCTCTCTCATTCTCTCAAGTAAATAAATACAATTTTTTTTTTAATTTTCTAAAGAAAAATCCTAGCTGATACCTCCGAAAAATGACTTGCTCCATGTTACTGTCCCTGCCCCCTGTAAACTGGAAAAACAAAAGTATGCTAGTCTGGGGAGGAGTCTACTGGTTAGCACATAGCAAGTGTTCAATAAAGGCTACATTCTAACATTAACATATTTGCATAAGGTCACCCAGCTGGTACCTACTGAGATTCAAATCCAAATCTGACAAAAACAATACACTTAACCACCCCACTTGACAGACTCACAACCTGAGATCAAGAGTCACACACTCCACCAAGTGAGCCAGCCAGGCACCCCATCTGAAACCATCTTAATCGGCTTTTCTGGTTAATAATGAGGTGGACCTGGGTGCCTGGGTGGCTCAGTGGGTTAAGCCGCTGCCTTCGGCTCAGGTCATGATCTCAGGGTCCTGGGATCGAGTCCCGCATCGGGCTCTCTGCTCAGCAGGGAGCCTGCTTCCCTCTCTCTCTCTCTGCCTGCCTCCCTGTCTACTTGTGATCTCTCTCTGTCAAATCAATAAATAAAAAAATCTTTTTAAAAAAAAAAAAATAATAATGAGGTGGACCATGTTCCCATGTATTTAGTGGCCATTTGCATTTCTTCTTTGTTCCAAAATTGGACTCTAGGAAAAGGAGCAGTACTTGGAGTTTATGGCCAAAGGAGAGCCTTAAGGAGGGTGCTGGAAAGGACAGCATTTCAACTTGGGTTTTACCCAAGGGAAGACAGAGCAACACCCCTGTTCCCTTTCCAGTCTCCACACCCATGCACAGCTCACTGCCTCACTGGGCAAGTGGGAACCTCTGAAAACATGCAGCAGAGTTCAGAGTTGCTCCAACTATAGCACTACAGAGGACACAAGAAAGAAAAGACTTATGTGTCCATTGTAAAACTTGTTAGACTGACATCCCTCAGGACCAGGGACTGAGACGCCCTCTTATGTACCTACTAAGGAGGCCTTAAGCATGGGGGGGCGGTGGGAGGGGGAATTGTGGTGGGAGGAGAACCATATACATCAAAGGGTCAAATTTGTTCAGGTAATAAACTGACATTTGGCAACATTCTCCCCATTCTGGTCTTCTCCATTGATTCTTTGCCTCTCATGCCCTCTTTTTGCTCTGGACCCTCCAGAATGTTTGTGAGGCTGCAGAAGTGAACCTCTGTACTGAGAGCTGAGATTAAATGAGAGGGCCAGGCCATTAACATGACTTCCATGGACCACATCTTCCTCCAGACCACAGCCTAGTTCAGCTGTGTAGGTAACAAGAGGATGAGGCCATCCTCAAACATAATACATGGGCTCACCTACCACAGCCAGGATTGCCTGTGCCCTGTCACAATTTCAGCTGCCCATCACCATCCCTGACTGAATCACCTCTCTGCCCCCATCCTTGGTTCTCTTCCTGGAACACATCACTGGGCAAGAAACTGTTGCTGCCTCCACTCCTGTTTAGAATGAAACTGGGGATTAAACAGATTAAATCACCTTTAAATAAGCTGTTGATGAAATGCAAATATATTTCCCCAATTTACCTAGAAACTAACCAGATAAGAAAAACCCTTAACACAATGACTGTATTTTGTTAGGAGTCAAATTATCCCGGGAAATATAAGAAAGGATAAAGTGATGATAGAAATAATTTGTATCCTGAAATCATTTTTAGCAGAGAAGAAGTAAAGACCATTTTAATAAGCAGTGGTTAGAAGCAATGGGCCAAAATTCTAACTTATTTTGGTATTACACTCAAGTATATTTTATATACTAATCAAGACATTAAAGACAAAGGATGCCTCCCTGCCAGGCTCCCAGCAGGCTGAGGGGTGCAAGTTTCCCAAGGCTCTGGGGGAGCACCATTGTCCTGAGAGCCCCAGCCTCTGTCAGAGCCCTCTAAGGCCGCCTGGATGCCAATCTGGCCATGGACAGTCTTGGCTCCCACGAAGTAGATGTCTACTTCACCTTCAGGAAGCCGAGATTCAGCCCTAGACTCATCTGACACTGCCCTCCACCCTACTTCCCCCCAACTCCCACCTCCCCCAAACCCTCACAACCCCCCAACACACAGTCTCTGCTTGGGGCGACTCTCTCTCTTTCTCTCTCCCTCTGCTTGGGGAGCCCCGCAGCCTTTCCAAACTGGTCTTGATTCCTTCCAGACTGCCCAGAGGCTGGGAACGAGGTTGGGCGTTGGACCTGGAGAGGATGACCGAACCCCACGCCCTGGAATCCACGAACCCGCCCCGCAGTGCCGGGGGGCGGTGGGTGCTGCAGCCACAAAACAGAATTCATGAGTGCACCGTCACTTCCGATTTTTTCCCCCAGGAGGAAAGGAGGACCGGGGCGTCCAGGCTCCACGGTAACCCCTAGGGGGCGCGCGTGGTCCAGGTCAGAGACGCTCGAACTATCTCAGACGGCGCCGCCCCAAGAGCACATCATCGGGGACAAAACCTCCAGCGCAGGTGCTAGTGCTTGCTGTTACCCGAGCTGGTGCTAAGTTTGAGGGTAAGTGCAGTTCAGGAGGCGATAAGAAACCTAGGTGAAACGTGGGCTTTCAGCAACAAATACGGGCTTTCAGTGACCGTGTGGCTTTGAGCAATTGTCTTAGACTCTCTGAATGTCAGGGGTTTTTTTCCAGCAACCACACAGGAATGATGGGAATGCAGTCTTCAGTGGGTTTTTGTGTGTCTGAAGGAAGCAAATGGCGATGAGGGTCCATGAACGTTACTACTGTAAGCAGTAGACCAGGAGCTGATGTAGCCAGGCCCAGGGGCAGCTGGAACCCAGTCAGTAGCTAGCGGAGATGGGCACCTCTACCTCCTTCCAGAGCTAACATCCTGATTTGGATCTGCACTAGACCGGAACCCTAGACGGCTAGGGACTGTATCCTGTTTACCATTCACTCACCCATTCATTCAACAAGTACCCATGGAGTCCTTGTACGATATCAGGCATTATGCCAGAAGCCAGGGACCAGTAGGAACAGTCAGAAACTGTCCCCAAGAAGATGCTGTCCCAGCTGTCATAGAACCAACAAGCAAACATTCCTTTGAGGACACTGACATTACTCAGCTACATGACTGGGAATAATTATAAGTCTCTAAGGAAGTGATATCTGAGCTGAGGTACCTGGGCTAAAAGGAGGGGAGCAAAGACAGGAGTGTTCTAGTCAGAGGAAACAGCACAGGCAAAGGTCCTGAGGGGATTGGGAACCAAAGAACCAAAAGAGATCATTGTGATTGGAGAGCAGTGAGGTGTGGAAGCATGGTATAAGGTGAGCCCAAGCTGCAGGGAGAGGTGGGCAGGACTTTGTACCCTGATGTGAATCGAATCTAAGAGTACCCAGCAACTTCTGAGAGGTTTAAGGGCAAGGGCAGGACTGTATTTCGAAAAGGTCCCTGTATCCCAAGTGCAGGGCACAGGGTATTACCCTGTGTGGAGCTGGCATTTGCTACATACTTGTCAAATGAATAAATAACTAAGATCGCTGTTGAAATTCTGGAATTTGATATCTTGAATACAAAAAATCATTTTAAAAACCTGGAAAAGGGCGCCTGGGTGGCTCAGTTGGTCGGTTGACTGCCTTTGGCTCAGGTCATGGTCCAGGAGTCCTGGGATCAAGTCCCGTATCTGGCTTTCAGCTCCACGGGAAGTCTCCTTCTCCCTCTGACCTTCTCCCCTTTCATGCTTTCTCTCACTCTCTCTCTCAAATGGATAAGTAAAATCTTGAAAAAAAAAAAAAAAAACTGGAAAAACAGGGGCGCCTGGGTGGCTCAGTTGTTAAGCCTCTGCCCTCAGCTCAGGTTATGATCCCAGGGTCCTGGGGTAGAGTCCCACATCAGGCTCCCTGCTCTGTAGGAAGACTGCTTCTTCCTCTCCCACTCAACCTGCTTGTGTTTCCTCTCTCGCTGTGCCTCTCTCTGTCAAAAAAATAAATAAAATCTAAAAAAAACCCAAAACCTGGAAAAACATCCAACCCTACTAAAGTTCTAAATAATGCAAATATAATAAAATGCATAAAGTTTTCTTGTCTTTTAAGGTTATTTCTACTGCAAAGTTCCTTATTATTTTTAATAGAATAGTTTTAGAATGATTTTAGATTTACAGAAAAATTGAGAAGATAATAGAGTTCCTGCTCCCATATACTGTCCCTAGTTTCCTTTATTACTAACATATTACATTACTAGTATAGTACACTTTGTTACAATTAATAAGCCAATATTGATACATTATCATTACAAAAGTCCAAACTTTACTCAGATTTCCTTAGTTTTTGTTTGTTTGTTTGTTTTTTTAAAGATTTTATTTATTTATTTGACAGA